AAGAGAGTAAAGTCAAACATGCAATTTTGCTGCTGATCAGTTACATATTAAGAACAGTGATGCTCAGCTGATCATTCAGCTCTTTGAAGCACTCAGCATGGCACAGTTTTCCTGTTGGGCATTTGAGGCCCATATTGGAATTGGATGGGGTTTTTTTTGCTAATATGTTGGTTTTTTCCATTCTTGAATTCCAAGGGTGAAAAATCTTGAATGTTGTTGAGGCAGTTATTGCCATGTTAGTCTGCCTGTTGCTTTGTCACAGAAATGTCAGGCTGAAGCTGAGGCACAGCTCATTCAGTGCAGGATGAGGCCCCTCTGCTGCCACAGGGGTCCTCCCTATTTCCAGGGCAAATGGGATAGGCTCTGAGGGAAGGGAACACAAATCATTGAGCCTTTTTTAAATGGATAGGATAAAGAAGGAGATATTAACATATAATTTAGTAAATGATCTGATTTCAGACTACACAGGGTTGAGATGGTTGGGTTGCTTTTGTGTTTTAAACCAAGGGAGTTCTAGACCTGGAGGAAAAGATAGTGTGTGTCTGTGTGCAGGTGCTTGCTGCTGCTTCCTTCTTACCAGAGAAGGTTGTTCCATCCAAATAAGAATCTTTCTTAGAGGGTAGAGATAATATATAGCTATGAAGAAAAATTTTTCTTCTAGTTAAGAAGTCTCCTCCCTTCCTTTATGTTGCTTTTTTTTCCTGCCTCTGTTCTTCCAATTCACTTGACAGGGATTTAGGCAGCTGTTACTAAGTATTTGACTTCGGTGGAAGTGGGGGACAAGAAGCCTTGTCAGCCTGTGTGTTTGCCTCCCTCAGAACCACACGTTGTGCCAGAGTATTTTTCAGTCCACCTGGCTCTGTCCTTTTGTCCTGCTTTGCCTGCTGAGGTGTATCAAGATGACATAACTTGTAGCTGGCATTTAAAGGGCCTGAGTAGAGTGTGAAATGCTATTTTGTTGCTGTGTGAGGGTGATGTATTGAAATAAACCACTGTGTAACCAAAACAGATGGTGCTGATCTTGACTCTGTCTGCAAGATCTTATAGCATTTAATTAAAATGGTGGTGTAATTCCCATGACACCTTTAACTACAGTTTAAATTCTTGGACTATGAACTAAGGGCTTTCTTATGCAGATTTTTACTCATGTGAGTAGTTCTTCGTATGAGTCTCTAGTGGCTTCAGAATAGCTACTTATTGAATAAAGCTCTCTTAAGATGAGACTCTAATAAAACTGGCAAATATATATATATATATGGCATTTAATTTTTTTATGTTCCAGTTTGAAGCATAAATTTTAGACTAAAGACACTTAGCAACTACAGTATCCTACATAAAAGCAAACAAAAATCTAGATTAGAGGAATTGTTTTGATTGCTCCCAACTTCAGGGGCTGGTAAGTACAGCACTTTGAAGTACCCTGGGCAACTTAACATCTTCTCCTTGGTTACAAGGACATATAATGAAAGCTTTTTCATCTTTATATTCCCTTCAGTTATCTGAAACTTGTTTATAGAAGTACCTAGGTGGTTTGTTTGTGGTTGTTTTTTTTTCATGATACTTGCTTCTTTTCTTACAGAGAATTAGAAAATCTTATGTTTGAAGCACTGTGCAGCCTGAAATTGTTAGAGCAGCAGTTTGTGGATGACCAATTGGGGAGTATTTTTATGCCTATTTTGTTTTTTGTTTTCATGTAAGGTAGAATTGAGAAAGATAAAATCACTTGGCCAGTGCCATGTTAAAAGTCTTGGAGAAAGTCAGGGGGTCTGTGTGATAGATATTTAATCCTTTTGCTCATAAGATCCTTCAAGCTTTTTCTGTAAATCTTTGCCTGCTTTTCATGTAGATGCTTCTTATTTTGGAAATGCTGGGTTACTGATTTTCTACACTCTGAGGCCTGAATCTGCTTGAGCTCTTCTCACCTTTCTATGCCATATGAATCAGGAAAAATAACATATGATTGTATAATTTTAGGCATTATTTGTAAGGTAGAGAAGTACAAAAATGCAGAAGTAAATCTGCTCTATGTTTGTTGTGGCCAGATACAAGAATTTCTCCAACTTTTGATGCTCTGCCTTTTTCTTGTTATTCTGTGTCTGTATTCTTGTATGATCTGTCCTAGGGAGCTTCATGCAGTAAAATGGATGGAATTACATCTGTCTTCTGGAGAAGTTAATTTAGAATTGGTCTGTCCATTTCCTGTAAAACACACGTAGTCCAAAAAGCATTTGATGGAGATGAGAAGGGAAAAAAAATAAATGGAAAAGGAGGTGGAAGATGTGTTTTGTTTGTGTTCCATCTGTGAGGACTGCAGAAGAGGAAAACAGTCACAGTGGCTACACAGCACTAATTAAATCTTTAGGGTTGCTGGTCGCATGCCAGAATCAAGTTGTGCAGTGTGAAATGTTACTAGGGAATTGTGATTTTTAGCAGCCTAAACTCTGCCAATCTGAATGGAGGGCTGTGAGATCAGCAGAAAACCCTTCCTAGCTGTCTGTTATTCTGATTTTTAAACCTGAGGGGGGATAGAGAATCAGAGCTTAGGTTTCATGTCTCCTAGGAATGTACAGTTCTGGATGCTGTGCTGGAGGTAAAATGGCTCCAGCCCTCAGCTGTTGCAGAGGGATCTGGAGGGGTCTGTATTTAGGGCAGGTTGTAGGAGTACTAATTTGCTTTCTCTGTCGCTGTTTGTGTAGAGGATATCCAAGGTTTGAATACTCTTAGTTAATTATTTATTTTGAAGCCTCTTTGCTCTGCGGAGTTGTAAGGGTTAAGACAGTCACCTAGGAGGAAGGAAACCTGAGCTTGCAGTCCTTTGCAAAGGGCTATATATGTATGGCATTCCTTCTTCGGCCATGTGTCTGAATGAAAGCATTGACATGCCTGTATTTTCGTTAATGCTTCATTTTTGGTTGTGTTTTGGTGTGTTTGGATGCCTGCATGGAATTCTAAGTTTGAATGCACTCTTCCACCCTGATAGCTGCTTTTGAAACAGGTCTTTTTATGTCTTGGGAAATTTACCATAAGAAGTTGGGTGTTAGTAAAGATTTCTGGATATTGCAGTTAAAGCTAGAGATCCAGCTTCTGGATTTCCTTACAAGCTTGGCCCTGTGCATGTAGAACATAGCTCTTACAAGCACTTTATTATGTGTCCAATTGCAGCTAACTGAATTTAAAAAAAAAAAAGTTTTTAAAAAGGCCCTCTCATCTAGGAAGTTGAGTCCTTCATTGCACAGACCTCCAAATTATATGTTCCTTTATAGACCAAAGCAAATAAAATCTCTTGAGTAATGCATGATTTGCTAGTAGTGTTGATTAATAGTAAGTTCCTTTTTAGTCAGGTTTTTTAGTGCTAAGAACATTGTAGCAAACCTAAAAGCTGAGACCTACTCATAGAGGAAAAGATGCAAGAAACACCATAGATTCCATCACCTGGCAGTTCTTTTGCTCTGTTCTGCATTCATTTCTAGCCAGTGGTGAGTAAAACAGCACATGGACAATATTGTCCTCAGGTTGGCAATCTTGCTTATTCTCAGTATTTCAGGCTGCTTTAACAGCAGCTCTGCCCTTCCTGGCCTGCTTTGCTGTTCTCTGTCTTACTGGTACAAGCATCTCTGTGGTTATTTAATGAACCAGGTATGGGGGCTGATCTGAGTAGAAGAAAAAATCATTTAATGTAATACTTCTGGTTTTTGGTCAGTTCTTCTCAGTGTGAATCTGTGCAGACAGCAGCATTGCTGGAAAGCAGGAGTGAGGATGAAGTCAGGAGCAGATGACTGATGCAGGCAGGGCAGGCCAGGCCAGGGCTGCTTTTTGGCACCAGTGCTTACTTGTGTTGGTTTAAGGTGTAGGTTAACAGCCTCTGTGTGCAGTTTAATGTTCTGTTTTATCTGATTGGAGCTGTCACTGAAAGGGGAGATCCCACTGCAGTGCTGTGCTCAGCTGGGCCTTCTCACTCTTGCTCTTCTGTCTGCTCTAGTGACTGTGTGGCTGCAGGGTAAGCTGTCAGCATGCTGATCTGATCAACTTCTTTCTTTCTTTTTGTTTCCCGTCTTTTTAAGTGGTGAACTGATTCCGTTCACCCAAGGATGGCATGATCACTAGATCTAATGTCAGGTTGGGAGATGGAAATGCATGGCTAGGGGTGAGGAAGAGGCTGCCATCTTGGGAGCAGCCTGTGTTCACAGCGGATTGAACATAAATGAAACCACATTAAATTCTAGAATATGGTCACCAGAACCACAGGCCATTGGCTGTCTTGTGTGTAAAAAACCTGCTGCAGGTTAAGGACTTTGAAAACCATTTGTTTAAATTAATTGAATTAATGGTTGGGCTTGATGACCTTGAAGGTCTTTTCTAACCTAAGTGATTTTGTGATTCTGTAAATTGATTTAAAAAAACCTCCATGTGGATGCAGATATTCGCTCTCTAGTGTGTTAAATACTTACCACACAACATCTGCAGAAACACAGAATATATGCAAGTGTTGCTGGTACAGTCTCATCTTGTGTACTACTTCTGGATTCAGATCTTTTGAGTTCAGTTTTAATTAACATGAGGACAAAATCTAGAAGTTCTGAGGGATTAGTATTGATGCTTACCTATTAAAAATTGAAGCAGAAACAGACCCAGCAACTAACTGCACTGAACTGCATCTCTGCAACTTCGACTAGGGAACAATGTGTGAGATGTCATTTTGTGCTTCTGCTAAATCCACAATCCCCAGTACTTGTCTTTGAGAGTGATTTTCTGTGTGGGTGGTCACTAGTGATCCTGGTTAGCTCTAGTAGTTAGTCATTCCTCACAGTCTGGAGAATTAGGCACACCAGAAGTTTGTTAGTGTAGAATTAAATGAGATGCAGCTCTGCTGGTTTCTGTATGCTTTTCTTGACTGTTTCATCCATAATGTGGATGGGATGTTATGGGTTGATACCTCTGAGCTGCCAGAAAGCTGCAAGAGCTTGTCTGCTGTTTCAAACAGCTGATGTCTAGTTACTGTTATGTTGATCAAATGGGTGGTGCTGTTGAGTAGCCTTTTTTGTTTGGTTGAGTTTTTTGGATTTTGTTTTTCTCATCCTCATATTCCATGTTTTTTGTGACTTACCATATGTTCCTAGTGGATTATAACATAAACATTAAACGTTTTTTTCTTAGGTTGTCTATGCTGGCACCAATCTTGGATGTTTTGTGATTCGTAGTCATATTCATTACACTGTTTGAGAAACTTTGCACGTTCCTTTTCCAAGCTATAGCTTGAGATCCATGTAGAATAGATGTAGATGCTTTGGAGAAGCATGTGTAAGTACTTCCTCTTAGAGTATTAACTGATGTGTGAGGCATTCCAGTGCTACACAGCACCCTGCAGTGAAAAAATATTTTTTATCTTTTCCTTTTGCCTTTTGCTCCTGCAATCCCATGTCATCTTTTGTGCCAGGAACACGCCATGTATGCTGTGCACCTCGACCAGTCCTGACTATCTTTTCCAATTTGCTTTTCCATAGCTCCCCAGCACTTTGATTAAATACTCAGCATTTCTGTCTCAGTACAGAAGCAGTTGTGCTGGCTGTAAAAGGTCTTCAGTAGGAACAATCCAGTGCTGTGTGATTTGATCACTATTGGTATCCTGCTGGCATGATAGAGGATGGTACGGCTCTGCAATGTGGACCTGAAGATATCTAGTGGCTCAGGGGCAGGCAAAAATAAAACCAATTGCTGTTCACTGTGGTGTTGCATTTTTCTCCTTCCCAGTGGAGGTCAGCTACTGTATTCCTGAGAGCCTGGTGAGGCCTCTGCAGAGGAAAATTCAACAGGCAATCTGGGTAATCTGTGTTTGGGGGAACAGGCCTTGAGGCAGAGTCACAGGAACCTCTTGTCGTGGGTCAGAGCCCATGGTGCTGGGCAGTGTATGGGCAGAATGAGATGAAACTGTTTCAGAGGATGCATTTATGAAATCAAAGAAATAGAAGTGTGTTTTGCTTGTGTGGTTGGTATGATGAAGGTCACTTTTAGCTCCTTAGCAATTAACAAGCTAGCTCTTGAAGAAGTAACAGCCTTCTTCCAGTTATTGTGGTAAAGGAAAGTAACTTTTAGAGTTTAAACTTCTAAATGATTAAGTTTGTGGACCTGAAAAGGAACATCCTTCTGTATGTGACATGTAGTGTAGGGTTTTGTGGAGTAGTGTAGGCCAGCAGGTTAAATGTCCTTTGGCAGAATACGTGATCTGCAAGTCTCTTTTTAAGAGTTTGTTGATATTTTCTGTATGTAGTGTCCAGGGAAGGAAAGGAATGTTTACTGTTTAGATACATTTTAAGGTATTACTCAGCAGGGCTGTGGGGGGCAGTCACCCCTACAGCTGGTGTTGTCACTGCTCTTTTCTCTGGCAGTGACTTCTTTTGCCAGATATGTAGATGCTGAGTTTTTGCAGCTTGTTGCTGGAGACCAGCTGGTTTTTCCTGTAGGACCACTCTAGAGCTGAGCACACTGGATGTTTCTGAGCACCAAAGAGAGGGTGTGAATACTGTAAGTGAAGTAGCAGAGGTGGTGGCAGCAATGAGAACGTAGTAACGTGGGTTAGAAACTGAAATACAAGCCTACTGTGAACACAGAGTATGTACATACTGTTTTTTTATTTTATAATGACATTCATGCTAGCTAGACTAGAAGCCACAGGAGTATTTCCCTTTGTGTCATGGGTGGGCTCCCAAAACCAGTGGAGAGAAGGGAGGACACAGCAACACAGAGATAAACTGGGAGTGGAGGAAAACTGGGAAGGGGGGCAGGGTAAGAGAAGTAGACAAAAAAAGTATCACTGTGGACATTTCAGAGAAGGGAAACTGAATGTGACAACTGAGAATATCTGCTATTAGAGGTGAAAAGAAAAAAAAAATAGAACAACTGCTCTGCTGACCTGCTTCTAGCTGCCAACTCTTTCATGGTTTGAGTACTTTGGCAGCCTCTGCCCTGGCAGTTGTTCATCTACACATCTATGCAGGGGGACATCTCTACTCCTTCAGACTTGTAACCTGTGTAGGAAAACATCTTTCCCAAAAGCCTGGGTAGCCATTTTCCTGCTCTTTCTATTCTTCTTGATGGTTAATAAGAGAATTCTGTCTGGCCAAGATACAGTAAATACCAGCATTCCTTGTTCTGCTGTTGTTCATTTGAGCAAAATCAAAATAAAAAGCATGTGTGGTGAACCTGCAACGTTACAATATGAAACTGTGTCACCATTTTCAGTAAGTCACTTGTTTTCCTGTGTCCTGCTGTACTTTCTGTTTCTGACTTTGAAGTGGTGAACTTTTGGGCTGACACGGAACTGACTTGACTGCCAAGCAGCATGTAGGGAGTGGGTGGGTCTTATTCCCTCTTCCTGTTTGTTTGTTTGTTTTCCTTCCAATTTGTAAGATTACAATAAAATAACAGGAAGAAGTGAATGAATCTACTGGGAATGAGTCAAGCTGTGGTGAAAAATCTGAGAGCAGAGGTATACCAGGTTTATTCCATACTGTTACTAAAATTGTTTTCCTTTTTCCTTGAAGGTGAAAAGAAGAAGGTATCAGAATAGGAGTTTTTAACTTCAGCTGCTTAGATCTTAATTCTAGCAATTAAACCACGACACAAACCAGTACTATGACTATAACTGAGATAGTGATTTAATGGCGCTTTTTTTTTTTCTTCTTTATTTTTTTCTTCCACAGGCTGAACTCACAGGCATCAAATGGCGTAGGTACAATTTTGAAGGTCATGGGGACTGTGGCCCTATCATTTCAGCCCCAGCCCAGGATGATCCAATCCTGCTCAGCTTCATCCGCTGCTTGCAGGCCAACCTGCTCTGTGTGTGGCGCCGCGACGTCAAACCGGATTGTAAGGAGCTGTGGATTTTCTGGTGGGGAGATGAGCCAAACCTTGTAGATGTGATACATCGTGAGCTGCACAGTAAGTTACTCTCTTCCTTTGTTTCTTGATTTATTATTATTACTATTGTATCTTTTTTCCCAGTGAAAAAAAGAATTTATCATTGAGAGCTCTAACTCGCTACCAGATGTGATTCTTGTTGTGATTTTGTGTTTTAAGACCTAAAGGGAAAAAAGCAGGTAGTAAATTGGACTTCTCTGCTGCAAGTGATCTGCAGATAAAGTGTGAAATAAAACTTGTGCTGAACTTAGGAGTCCTCTATCCAATGTCATTACTTGGATTTTTGTGAAACCTCAGATGCACTGCAAAATAAGAGTAAATTCTAGTGTAAAGGATAAAAATAAAACATAAAATTCTGGTATATGGTAATAGGTGGTGGAATAAAACTACTATACTAGGGAGTCAGGTAAACTCCATGGCAGCACAGGTAAATTTTCAGTCAGAACTTGCCACATTGGTCACCCACAAGATTTGAGCATAAATGGTGGGAAGTTGCAACAAGTGATTGTGATACAAGGAGGGAAGGGGAAGGTAGAACAAAGGTGGCAATGAGAAGTTCATGTGATGGTAAGATTTGTGCAACTTGCATTGTCCTCAGTGTGTACAGAATGTGTAGCCTTAGGAGGACAGAACAAAACTAACTTATTTGTCGTGATCCTCTGGTCTTGACTATATCCACTGTATATTAATTTGTTTTCACTGGTGAGTTGTGGCTATGAGTAGACCTAGTTTGCCTGAAAATTTGAACTTTTCAAAGGTGTTTTATTAGACTGTATGAGGAGATGCCTCTCTTTCACCTTTGTGTCTTGATTGGAAACAATGGAAGGCCACCAGTCCTGGAATAATAATAGTAATTGAAAAAAAAGAAGCCCTCTCAAGCGAAAAATAAGGATCAGTTCCTTGGTCTTTTTCAGTCAATTATCACCCTGGTACCTTTTAGTCTTTCAGAAGACTTGGTGATAAAATCTGTATGTCTGTTCAAACACACAGAATGCTGTAGTTGTCAAGTGTGCTTTAGTTGTCCCTTACCTGCACACTGTTGCTGCACACTGTTATGATCCTGGTTCATGCTAGGTTCATTTTCTTCCTCATTATCCTGTACTAACCACCGACCTTCAGAGGGTTACAAACTTCATACTTTTATGAATACCAGATTGTTTATTTGGTAATATAGCCTGTGAAATCACAGATATGAAATCCTCTGTATCTTTAGGCATATTTCATGCAGGTAGCTATGTGATCATGTATAATTAAAGAGATGGCTCAGAAGTGCTGCATGAAGCCATTCCACTGACATGAATTTTTTATGAGGCACCTGTTTTGAATGAAGGCATGGGTAATATTTCTACTTACCCAGCAAAGCTTTAATAATATATGCTTTTCTCTTTGTGAAATACAGTTTATTTAATATTTCAAATGCAGCATATGGGACTTAAGTGTCTTTTTATTTGAGGGGAGTCGCAGGTGATAGCTTCTGTTTCTGTTGAAAATGGATGTAGCTTGTTTATATCTAACCTCTTGTTTACATCACTATAACGCTCCTTCCAGTGATCATGGTATGGTGAAGCATCTAAATGCAGGATTAGCTGAACCTGCTCAACTGTAATATGGAACAGGGTATGGCAAAGAGAGAAGACCATCACTTTGACACATTTTTTTGCCTGGTCCAAAATTTTATGAGGTGTCTAGGCTGGAGCCTTCAGCACAATACTTCTGTATTGAATTTATGAAAATTGTCTGCAAGAGCTCTGTTTTTCAAGTGTCAACAGCAGCAGTAGCACACTGATAAAAACCAGTCTGAGCACAGTGTTTCACAACACTGCAATAAGCTGTACTGAAAAGAAGTGTCTACCCTGGGACAATATGATGTGATCACGAGGAGTGATCCTTACTTCCAGTGCTCCCTCTCTCACAATAGAATAAAAAGGTCTGAAGAGGGATGTGAAGGGATGGAAAGTTCAGTTTGGAGCACTCTGTGTAACTCATTTAGGGGAGTGAAGTATGTGGGAATTGAAAGAAGAAGAAAAATGCTCCTGCTGTGTCAGAGCCCTGCAGGAATTTGGAAGGACTCAGCTACTCTGCTTCTTTCCAGTGCAGGTTTCGAAGTTCGTTGTAATGCATGTGAATTGTAAACTGATAGGTTTACTTGTTCTATGTTAAAATCATGTTGAAATCCTTGCAGTGACTTCTCAGATGGTATTTGAAAGTGAGGTAACTGTCAAAGTGGTATCAGTTTTACTGCTGATAGAGCTGTCCTGCTCTCTTCAGTAGTTTTTTAGAGTTCAAACATGTTGGTATTGTCAAAATATTGAACGTCGCATTCTACCAGAATGAGGCATTTATGTACATGGATTCCTTGAAGTATGACAGAGGACACTGGGCTCAGTGTTTTGTGCAGCAGCAAGGCAGAAAAAAGGTTATTTTGCTTTTCATTGCATAAGCAGACTACAGTACTGAGACATTTGATAGTTGAAATTATTATATTGAGTTTATGTGCTCTTGAAGATAAAAGCCTGCTTTGCATGTCAGCATGTAAACAGAAAATAGGTAAGTAACTGAAGGAGAGGAGCTGACTTGCTTGTCAGTTGAGCCACCGTAGCATGTTGTCTGCTTTGGTATAACCTAGTCATGACATAAATAGCACAGGCTTAAAATGTTGTTTGTATGGGTTGGATTGTCACTGTACTCAGTAACTTAATGTTCAACGACCAGAGCTTTGGTTTTGTGTTGTTCTTGCACCTTTATGAGCACAAGTCCCAGAAATCTGACACTGCCAATCCCAGAGGAAGACCAGAGTCTGTCTGAAATGTTTTCGTCTTTACCAGTCCTCATTTTTGGGATGTGTGAGCTTTAGGAAATAAATAACGAATCCTTCCCAATTGTGAAGTTGCTTACAAAGTTTTTGATTTTTTTTTCCTGCCTGGGACTTGTGCTTTAAAAGTGACATTCTCATTACAGTATTAAAAAATTAGTGGCAATCTATATGTAAGTCTTTATGTTCGTTCAAGTCTAAATTAGAGTTACTGATTTTTCTGAATAGAAGTGACTCACATAATGTTGTGTGACATTTAGGACTTTCCTTAAATGAGAAGCTCAGACTGAGACTTTTCTTGCAGAAACATTTTTTAAAGTTTTGTATATGAACTGTGTGGGTTGCCTTGTCTTTATAACATTCAAGAGAGATGATTTTGTAAATAACAATCTGCCTTTAAGAAAAGAATTTCAAATAGTCGGAGAGAAAACAACTTAGTAGTTACAAACAGGAGGTACGAGGAATTGTTGATTATGTAGTAGCTTTCCAAAGCCCTGTAGATAATTAAATGCTGTCAGGGGAGATTAAGTAAAAACAATTATTTGCAGAACAGCTACAGATCAGTTAAGTAGTTAGATTAGCTAGACAGCTGTGAATTGCATAGGTGTGTGTCTGACACACTCCTACACTTCTTTCTCCTGGTGTTTATTATGATTGGGATTTAAATCTGAAGAAAGTACATCCTTCTTCTGTCCCAAGTGAAAGGAGGTAATTGGTATGGGGTCACTGAGTGGGAGAAAAAATGGAGTGGTTTTACAAGTTTGAAAAAGTTGGGAGTGTTTTAGTTTGTGGAAGTTTTTTCTCAAGGAGAAAAGCTATTTATTACTGCTCTGTTACTGCCTGAAGAAGCTTGGCAGGTGCTACAGATGCTGTGCCTTTTCCTATAAAACAATTTTTTGTAAGTTCTACAGAAGAAATGGAAGGGAGAGGAGGTAGTATCTTACTGTTGGCAGGATTTTTGACAGGGAAGTTGTAGATTTGCAAGTTGCAGTGATCTCATTTGCATTTGGTGACCAAGTACCATCTGGAGCATTGCAGGGAATTGAAACGCGACTTGTGTATTTTTTTCTTTTCTTCCAGCCCATCTTGTACCCTGTGCATTCTGTGCAGATTATAAGCAGGTGATAACTGTTCCTTAGTTGCCTTCTTGGCTTTTGCAAAGAATCCTTATGTATGATGTTTTAAGCAACCTTTTTGTCAGTCAGTTTTGTCTTTAAACTTATGATCTGCCCACTGATTTTATGGATGTATTTGGCTTTGCCCCTTGCATCTGGGGTACAGAATACTTGAATTCTCAGGAGGAATGCAGGGATTATGGTGGTGGTTTAGGCTGGTTTGCCTAATATCACTGATTCTGGTAGGTGTTTGGGATTGCCATTGTATGTGTTTCTCTGTGAAGTTATGATGGCAAAAGAAAGGAATATGAGGAACTTGGGGAACCAGTGACAAACCTGGACACCCATCTGGTTGTGGTTGGCCTAAGTAGAGCCTGGCACAGCAGAGGAAACCCAGAGTGGTGACATGTGCTACTTCATCGTGCAGCTTCAAAATAGAAGCTTAACAGTGTAAAGTGCCTTGAGAGAAAATAAATACAGTTTTAGCATTTTGCTACTCTTGGGACAGTCATCCTTCAAGTGTTGGTAAAGTTGCAGTTAAGTCATGATTGTCTCTCGTTTAAAATTCACTTAAAGATTTTTTTCCAGTTAAGTAAATCAGATTGACAGTTCTTTCCTGCAAACCTTTTGTTGTGGGGGGAAGAGCTTATTTAGGCAAGATGGTTATGTATGATGTCACTGTTTTTCTGCACGTTTCATTCTTTTGTTTTATGTATTTGTTTTTATGTATCATCTGCAGTATTGCAACATTAACTGCAGGAGATACTTCCTCAAAAAAAGATACTTGTGACTTTGTAGTATATTGGATGTAGAACATCTGGATTTTGATGGAAGCTCTTATGAAAAATAGTTTATCTTATATTAATTAGGTCAATCTTTCCTGAATGTTTGTTGTTCAGGATAATAATAGCTTGGTAGGTTTAAAAATGTAGGTAAAATGTGATCTGGGACAGGAAAAACATGGAGCTTCAGTTAATGAATTCTTGGCATAGTGGGCTGAAGCAGTTGTGATCCCTGTGAGCTGATGGAGGGAGAAAAAAGGTGGCTGGAGGGAAGGCTCTTTCTGCAAAGCATCTAGACCATATAGTTGTGAC